GGAGGGAGAAGGGAGGGGAGGGGGGAGAAGGGAGGGGAAGGGGAGGGAGGAGGGTGATGGTGGAGAAGGGAGGAAGAACTGAAGGGATGAGGGAGGAGGGAGGGGAGGGGGTGAAGGGAGGGGAGGGGGTGAAGGGAGGGGAAGGGAGGAGGAGGAGGAGGGGTGAAGGAGGGAGGGGGAGGGTAGGAAAGTCCATACATGAATACACACACACATGGTCTCTTGTACTACAATGTTACTAGTATTATCATTATGTATTTGCTTTTTGTTGCTGTCTTTGTTTTTGGCCGCGAGGGGGAGTTCATATAAATGGCCAATATACCCGAGTGTAATATATAGCGCGTGTGAGAGAACAAAAAATAACGTTATTCTTTTTATTCCCTAGATGGAGAGAATGGAGGAAGGGAGGGAGGAAGGGAGGAAGGTGAGAAAGAAGCGGGAATGGAGAGAGAGAGGGAGAAGGGAGGGTGAGAAAAAGAGAAGAAAGGAAAAGACAAACCACACGCAGACAGACAGGCAGAGACATACATACATACATACATACATACATACATACACAAATGTACACACACACACCCACATACTCCAAATCACCCACCCTCACCCAACTCAAAAAAAAAAAAAAAAAAGATAACTAAAATAATACAACAAAAAAACAACAGCAAAGAATTTTTCACTCCAAGAAAACCACTCCCCAAACACAAATCCCCTTCCCCCTCCCCCTCCATCTACCCCCTCGCTCTCCCCCCCCTCCCCCTCCCCCTCCATCTACCCCTTCGCTCTCCTCCCCCTCCCCCTCTCCCTCCCCTTCCATCTTCTCCTCCCTCCTCCCCCTCCATTCAGCCCTCCCTCCCTCCATCCCCTATCTCCTTCGCCCTCCCCTTCCCCTATCCTCCCCTCCCTCCTCCCCATCCCCATCCCCCTACCTACCCCTCCCCCTCCCCCCTCCCCCTCCCAATCCCTTTCAACCCCAAAACAAGTGCTAGATGGTTCCCTGTTCCAGCCGCGATCAGAACCATTAACAAACGCGTAATCGACCTGGAATTCAAGCCATAAAGCAGATACATAGAGCCCAGGGCGGACATATTGGAAGGGGAGAAAGAGGGGAGAGTGAGGGGAGAGGAGGGAAAGGAGGGAGGAATGAGAGGGGAGTGAGAGGGGAAGGGATGAATCAGAGAGGAGGGAAAGGAGGGATGAATGAGAGGGGAGAAAGAGGGGAGAGTGAGGGGAGAGGAGGGAAGGAGGGAGGAATGAGAGGGGAGTGAGAGGGGAAGGGATGAATCAGAGAGGAGGGAAAGGAGGGAAGAATGAGAGGGGAGAAAGAGGGGAGAGTGAGGGGAGAGGAGGGAAAGGAGGGAGGAATGAGAGGGGAGTGAGAGGGGAAGGGATGAATCAGAGAGGAGGGAAAGGAGGGAGGAATGAGAGGGGAGAAAGAGAGGAGAGTGAGGGGAGAGGAGGGAAGAATGAGAGGGGAGTGAGAGGGGAAGGGATGAATCAGAGAGGAGGGAAAGGAGGGAAGAATGAGAGGGGAGAAAGAGGGGAGAGTGAGGGGAGAGGAGGGAAAGGAGGGAGGAATGAGAGGGGAGTGAGAGGGGAAGGGATGAATCAGAGAGGAGGGAAAGGAGGGATGAATGAGAGGGGAGAGTGAGGGGAGAGGAGGGAAGGAGGGAGGAATGAGAGGGGAGTGAGAGGGGAAGGGATGAATCAGAGAGGAGGGAAAGGAGGGATGAATGAGAGGGGAGAGTGAGGGGAGAGGAGGGAAGGAGGGAGGAATGAGAGGGGAGTGAGAGGGGAAGGGATGAATCAGAGAGGAGGGAAAGGAGGGAAGAATGAGGGGAGAAAGAGGGGAGAGTGAGGGGAGAGGAGGGAAAGGAGGGAGGAATGAGAGGGGAGTGAGAGGGGAAGGGATGAATCAGAGAGGAGGGAAAGGAGGGAAGAATGAGAGGGGAGAAAGAGGGGAGAGTGAGGGGAGAGGAGGGAAGGAGGGAGGAATGAGAGGGGAGTGAGAGGGAAAGGGATGAATCAGAGAGGAGGGAAAGGAGGGAAGAATGAGAGGGGAGAAAGAGGGATTGTGAGGGGAGAGGAGGGGAAGGAGGGAAGAATGAGAGGGGAGTGAGAGGGAAAGGGACGATTCAGAAGAGAGAGAGAGGAGGAGGAAAGGATGGAAAGGGAGAGGGAGTAGAAGGGATAAAGTAGAGTGGAGGGGAGGTGGAAGAGATGAAAGAGAAGGGAAGAAGAAGGGAGAGAAAATAGAAAGGGAAGAGGGAGGAAGGAAGATTGATAGTGGAGAGGAGAAAGAGAAACGGGGAAAATGCGAGGAGAGAGAGAGAGAGAGAGAGAGAGAGAGAGAGAGAGAGAGAGAGAGAGAGAGAGAGAGAGAGAGAGAGAGAGAGAGAGAGAGAGAGAAATAAGAAGACGCCCAAGCTAATAGAATAAAACAGAAATCAATACCCAAATAATCCCTTCTTTACCCCTCTTCCCCCTACCCAACCCCCCCTTT